CGAATCAGAGAAGATATAGTAAATGGAGGAAAACAAGGATTAAATCTTGGAAAGGGCTACGGGCTGCAGAACCTCTTCATGAGAAGATTTGTGTTATTTGTTTTTGAATGGTAATTTTTTTAAACTGTAGTCATTTGGTCGCCATTGAAGGCCATTTCTATGGTGGAAGTCTGTGCAGTTTTGATGATGTCGTTGAACACCATTGGCGGAAGGGCGTAAAGAGGCGGTCCAACCCTATTTCCAGCACACCCAGGGGTTTAGTCCACCAATGACGTTCAATGATGCCATGGAAACCGTACCCACTACAGCCATTGCGAACACTCCCTTCAGATATTGGGCGAAGGTGAGACAAAGGAAAGTGACACCCCTCCTACACGCTACAACCGCGTATCCAATCTTGTCCGGAATATTCACACCCTCATTTCGTTCGGCATCGACTTATTGGAGCCAATTTAATGTGTGGTTTACAGAAACACTGAATTGCCCGTCAATTATCGTATGTACAGGTTCTGTACACATTTAAGCTCTCTCATACTCCAGAGAGGATTGTGGAGCGTAGCTCACTTCGATTTGACACGTGTGGAATTGCGGGAGGGATGTTCGTCACTAATTTCCATTTGGTTTCATTAAGAGTCCTGTAAATTTCGTGTGCTCATTTTTTTTTCTAGGAAATCCATGATCTCTTCGTTCGATAAGTTCTAACAATATAATATAGTATATAGGCATCCTGAAAAATGAACAGTAGAAGCTCGGTTTTGTGGAACGAACCCCATATCGTACTTCTGTCATAGATAAAAGTAGTTCGAATGTATATTTGAAACATTCAGATCAAAGTTACGGACTATTTCGCTCGAAAATGAGCGTTGCGAGGATAAATTCGAGGGCCTTCATTTCCGATGAAGTCGACCGTGATGAGACGGAGAGATACAGCACAGCGGAGCGAGAGAATATGCAAGAGAGCACGTCGTGTGAGAGGGCGCAGAAACGCAAACACAGGAGTTTCGTAGGTAACAGCAGAAGAACGAGTAGGGGTCCAGCGCCGTTATCGCACGCATTTTCAAGCACTGGAAATGGCATAACCTATGCGCTTGCGGACCTTGTTACGCCGTTTATAGAAGGAATCGACTAAATAGAGTGCCTTCAAGTGCACAAAAGCTCTTTTAAGAGTGAAGTGATGTCGACAAAAGGTTTCTCTCATACTTTACAGTACCATATGACGGATCCTTGCAAAAATAGGTTCATTCGTTCGGCGTGGGTTCCGTGTTCTAGATATTCAAGTATGTCGAATGGTGATGTCGACTACCTATTGCTCTTTTTGAAATCAAAATGAAGGAGCCGAATGCACCAACAATTACCCTGCCTGGCTCCCGCTTGTAGGAACGCAAGCTGCTGAAGCATCAGCATCGTCTCAAACAACCTTTGGGAGCGACCATATGAACCCCAAGGTGGGGGACAGAGACCGTTCTGCGACGCGAGCGCTTTCAAGTGCGCGGAGCGCAGGCAGTTAGTTGATGCATCAGGCTCCAGATGTGCGTAGAATTTTGCTTACCGCTCGATTCGACTCAAGACCTTTCAGATCGTGCACTTGCTTTCGGATATAAACGATTTGTGCGTAGTTGATGACGGCGTACTCAACCATGGCGGCGAACACGAATCCAAAGCAGCTCCTCAAGTCATGAAAATTATAAAGATTCCAAAGGTTCAACAAAAATGTCAACTTACAAAATGTAGATGTCAAGTGCCGTGGAATGAGACACTTTTGGTAGATCAGTGCGCAGACCAAAACCCAGCGTGGACATCGACAACACTGTCATGATCCCTGAAAATTTTCAGCTTACGCTAGGACTCGCCTCAATGTGAATCTCTGACCTAGAGCGACTCGAGCTGGTGAGGCTTCCTTGTTGATCCAAAAGGATACCCACGACATCACCACCAAAAGGGTGCATGGGGTATAGATCTGTAGCACGTAATAGCCTTGTTGACGTTGTAGTTTAAAGTAGACTTTCAATACGGAAATATCTGAAAGGGGTTTGAACATTATTTTCAATAGAACTTGACCCCAGGAAACTGCTGGGATGGCACAATAATTACAATAAAGTAGTACGAAAAAAATTTTACAAGAAAAGTCTCTCATTAACGAAGGACGTGCCAGAAAGCCGCAATCATAGTGTATGAACCAGCATATGTATAGGCATAGGACCTTTATAGCCCTTAAAGCCTTAAAACCTCAGAGGCACGGGTCGGCTCCGAGCTTAGGAGCCGCGACACTGCTGTGACTCAAAAATGTACGGCAATGGTGCTAAGACCTTACCTTGCCGGCGCTGCCACTCTAACAATCGCGACAATCGTGGCGTTTACGCCCTCTCGCAGACACTGCACTATTTCGCTCTCTTAGCAGCGCTGCGTCTTTCCATCACATCACGGCCGATAACGCGGGTGAAGTCCCAGTGTTTTATATGGCGCTTTTCGCTTTCTGTACTAACGTTCCTCATCGCACCTTTTGTTCAATTTTGGAACAAGATAGCACATCAATTTGATCACGACCCGTGCCTTTAAGGACAGTTTATAGGGGATGTGAGTGCACGGTGCACCCTTGCAGATTTCACCAATTCAGAGTTTCACTCACTTCGATGTGTTTGTCGATAGTCGGAGAGATTGTGCTCGGATTTGAACAGGCCAAGGATTTTGTACTGTGACAGCATATTGCCCATTTTCGCGTCCAGGTCCACATCCTTCCAATAGTAGATGAGATCGTTGGTGAAATAGCCCAAGGAGCCTATTTCTATTGGGACACGCCTGAATATTGAACGTAATTCAGCATGATTCACTATAAAATTACTATAATTACTTCGCTGAAAAATAAAAGTGGACCGGTAGTGGGAAAAAAGAAAGAAACTTTCAAAATCACTACAGATGAAAACTTTCCTCTTCCGCTCTCTGGTGAAGGACATGTACGATGGGGCTAAGGCAGCTATACGCACCCCACACGGCCTAACGAAGGAGGTGGACATCACGGTTGGGGTGCACCAAGGGTCAGCTCTGAGCCCGTTCCTCTTCCTCCTAACACTAGATGTCCTGGTGAAGGGGCTCATGGAGGGACCACTGACCATCCTCTACGCTGACGACATCGCCTTGATAGCGGATAGCAGAGAGGAACTTCAAGCCAAGGTGCAGAAATGGCAGAAAGTCCTGGCAGAAGGTGGGCTACGGCTGAATGTCAAGAAGACCAAGTTCCTGAGCTCCGAAGAGGGTGCAGAGCCGATCGTGGACGGCCATGGTGAGACCATCGAAAGGTGGAGGACTTCAGATACCTCGGGAGCGATCTGGCAGCCGACGGAAGTGTGGATCAGGCAGTGAAAGGCACGAATCAACGCGGCCTGGATGAAATGGAGGGAGTCCACTGGAATCCTCTGCGATCGAAGGTGCTCCAGAGCGCTCAAAGGAAAGGTGTACCGGACAGTGGTAAGGCCTGCGATGCTATACGGCAGCGAGTGCTGGACCCTGACAGATTCGAAAGGCCCTTTCACCTCGCACGTAGTGAAGATACTAACAAGGAATGGTCAATTGGTCGGTCCGGCCGTTTGTAATGAGGTGTAGTCGATGCACGCGTCTTGCGACGCTGAGCTCAAATCCGTTTTCGGTTTTTGCCGAACGATTCTCTGAACGAAGTTATGAGGGATTTCTCACTGTGGCTATCTCACTGTGGCGTCCTCTACATTCCCTGTCCCACACGGCTCGTATAGGAAAGAGTCGCAGAGCATCTATATTACAGTGGGCATAGTGGTGTGATGAAAAGCGTTCTTGCTTCATAGGGGTGTGGTCATATATTCGAATCCTTGTCAAGGAGCAAGCCTTCGCTTTTAGAGGCTGGCTCATCACGAGCCAGGACAAGCGTCGCGTAATTGGTTATTCTGTCATCGTTCTGTTCGCTCGTTCTGTTTTTACGCGAGCCAAGTGGGATAGGGGACGTAGAGAGGCGCTACAGTGTGAAGAATTTCTAGTAACTTCATTCAGAGAATCGTTCGGGAAAAACCGAAAACGGATTTGAGCTCAGCGAGCAAAGCGCGTGCATCGGGCTGCACCTAATTTTGAATGAACGGAAGAACTAATTGATAAATAAATAGGCAATGGTGGCACAAAACACTCATACTGCACTTTTAGCGAACCCTAAACATATCCAATACCTAAGTGCTTATTACAGTCAGAATGTGAGCCTCGAAAACAAACAATTTCGTTGTTTAAAGGAGGAATTCACGATTAGAATGAAGGTCGAAGAAAGGGAAACTGACCTAGTTGAGGGACCCACGGACCTCCTGAGGGTGCGAACTGACGCGCAATTCGCATGGAAAAATTTGACCTCGGCGACCTATCATGCCTCAAAGCTGGCGGTCTCCGCCCACCGATCATCTGATCACTCGCCGTAGTTCAATACGTGGCGAGTGATTAGATAGCTGAGAGAGCGTAGTGTTGAAGAGGGCACAGCGATGAGAGTCGCATCAATGCTCGAATCAACGGGCAAGGAAGGGGTCCCATTTCTCGGGTTCTGGGCCGTTTCTCATGGTTCTTCCTTCTTTCGTGTACCACTCACCATCCCTAGGTTAATTTGAAATGGGTTGCTTTTTCATCGTGAATTCGTCCTTTAAGGCACAACCCAGAGAGGTCGTGTGACAGCTCTGTTCGGCCTTGTAGGCATAGACGCCCTGAAGCGACAATCGCAGATATGCGCATTCCCGGGCTACGAAATTCAAGCCAACAGAGCGCTTGGCCTTGCAAAGTAAGCTGCTGAAGCTGCAGATTTTTTCTCTTTATCAGGCTGTTGTCTCTCTCATCTGTAGCGCTCTCTCGCCTCATACTCTCCTCTCCGCGCTTAGTCTCTCATTCCCTTAGCACAGCCGATTAGGAAGGTGAGTGAGCCCTTAACCTGAGCGTTTTCGACGGATTCTTTTCCTTTTTTCTTCACTGCCGGCCCACTTCGCACCAATACATTCGCATTCGTGTGCAAGAGCCACACCAGTGTGATCCTGGGGCATGCCTCAAAGCACCTACCTCGAGTGAATAGGTGTCTTATAGCGCTCGATGAGCATAAGGGTGGTAAATAACTACTCAAGACGAAGTGTACAAGTAAGTTTGAACATACCTTCCAATTATCGCCTTGAGTTCCCGATCGATGAGAGGGGTGTGCTTCCCCGCCTTGTTGTTTTCTCATTGGTTGATCCTTGCTCTTGGTTTGGTAAAATACAGTAAAGTACAGTGGTAGGACGAACCAATGAGAGTCATTGGGGGCGGTGCGCAAACCCCGCCCTTAGAATCATCGCGCAGTGCAATTTTAAGGTTCTTGGCAGTTTTTCTTGCAATTGGTTTCGCTAGTAGCTGAACTACTCACCACAACCACTTTCATTCGGATACAATAACACATACTTATGCGATCGCCGAATGGGTCTTTGATCAATGGAGTTCGTTCTCTTTTCAAGGCTCGCTATAGGCTAGCTACGATTAGTGAAGAATGCTGCATGTCCGTACCATAGGAAGCTTCCTCCGACATGAACCATTTTGTTTTTATCGTCAGCCTGCAGTTTGGCGAAATTCTAGACCGAAGAAACTGTCAATTTCTCATCCATTTTATTTCGCACTTAGAGGCGAGCGATTCCGTATAGTTTGTATGAGGGTTCACAGAAACGAGGTGGTGCTCAGATGGTACGTCAGTGGCGAAAAAAGCAGAGAAATCCGTCGAAGAAATTGCAAAGCAGGACAATCTTTCTCGCCCATTGGCTTCCACTCATGAAGGAGGTAACAGCTCAGAAGAAGTTATGAAATACGGTAACAGCTCAGAAAGCGGACGTATGAACGAGTTCACGCAACGCGTTTGGTGGCACCATGCCAAACCACGCTCCAATCGAGTTGCTCCAGTTGTGCCGCTGCTGGCAACGCAGCTCGTCCAAATCACCAACTAAACTAGTGGGCGGATCGCTTTTGGGGGCGGAGCGCTTTCGAAGTCCTGCTCAGCAACCAGCGCACCTTTCGTCGTGAAAGCGCCACACCTCGCTTCCTTGGCAGCCAAGTAACTGCTTCGTGTGGTGCACATGCTTTCCCGATGCGCTTCCTCTTTATCGTAATCGCTGCCTTTAAGTTCCTTTTTTTCCCAAAGGCTCACATCAGAAATGAAAGAGTTCTCACCTCTGCGAGACGTGAACCTGTCCGTCTGACCGTACTCGGAAGAGAATATTCGGAACGGTAAGTGTGTGCAGGTAGGACTTACGTCCATTTCGAATGTAGGTGTCAGGTACCTGAACGTTCGAAAATAAATAAGTTGGAAAGTGCTCATCTGGCTGATCCAGAAGGCTAGAAAAGACACGAGTATAGCCAACAAGATAACGAGGAATCTTCGGACAATGGGAACCGTTCAGAACACATAGTAATCAAGCGAACGGTCGCGTCGCGGTTGTAGAATGTGGAAGCTCAAGAAGGAACGATTTCGGTCACTTGGCTACGTACTCAATTTATATGAGATGCAACTGCGAAGGATCGGTTTCGTGGACTTATTCTTCAGGAGAGAAGATCGAGTTGATCACATGCTCAACCCCATCCTCTTATCGTGAACCCATAAATGGCGTCATTAAAGGGATGGGATTGTGAACGAAAATAATGCAAATGTTCTGGTTGCTGGGTGGGTTAGGTAGCGAAGCAGAAGCTTCAAGACGGAAGATTCACTTACCCATATGTCCTTAAGCATTTTGCTAGCTAGCGGCATCACCGGCTTATCCGGATTGATAGGAGTAAACGCTAATCGTCGGTCGAGCCATTTCTGTCGAAAGTAGCAATCGAGGGAGAATTCCTTAACGATAACGATTATGTGATGAGGTACGCTATTGATTTTGAAGAGGCTATACACTCTTACCGTATTTGTCCACATAGACCTTTCGTATGCAGGCTGAAGCTCTCAATATGAGCTGCATCTACTCATTCATATGA